AAATTCTTTGAACTGAATGACAATAATGACACAGCCTATCAAAACCTCTGGGATACAGCAAAGGTGGTGGTAAGAGGAAAGTTCATAGCCCTAAACACCTACATCAAAAAGTCTGAAAGAGCACAAAGAATCTAAGGTCACACCTCAAGGACCTAGAGAAACAAGAACAAACCAAATCCAAACCTAGCAGAAGAAAGGAAAAAACCAGGATCAGAGCAGAAGTAAATGAAATTGAAACAAACAAATAAAATATACAAAAGATAAATGAAACAAAAAGCTGGTTCTTTGAAGAGATAAATAAAATTGATAGACCATTAGCAAGATTAACCAAGAAAAGAAGAGAGAAAATCCAAATAACCTCACCAAGAAACTAAACAGGAGATATTACAACTGACACCACTGAAATACAAAAGATCACTCAAAGCTACTAGGAACACCTTTATGCACATAAACTAGAAAACCTAGAAGAGATGGATAAATTCCTGGAAAAATACAATCCTCCTGGCTTGAATCAGGAAGAATTAGATACCCTGAACAGATCAATAACAAGCAGAGAGATTGAAATGGTTATTAAAACAGTACCAACAAAAAAGTCCAGGACCAGATGGATTCACAGCAGAATTCTAGCAGACATTCAGCGAAGAATTGGTACCAATCCTTTTGACACTATTTCACAAGATAGAGAAGGAACCCTCCCTAATTCATTCTGTGAAGCCAGTATTACCCTAATACCAAAACCAGGAAAGGACATAACCAAAAAAGAAGACTACAGACTGATATATTTTATGAACATAGATGCTAAAATCCTTAACAAAATACTAGCTAACCAAATTCAACAACATATCAAAAAGATAATTCACCATGATCAAGTGGGTTTCATACCAGGGATGTAGGGATAGTTTAACATATGCAAGTCAATAAATGTAATACACCACATAAACAGAATTAAAAACAAAAATCACATGATCATTTTAATAGATGCAGAAAAAGCATTTGACAAAATCCGGCATCCCTTTATGATTAAAACTTTCAGCAAAATTGGCATACAAGGGATACATACCTTAATGTAATAAAAGCTATCTGTGACCAACCCACAGCCAACATAATACTGAATGGGGAAAAGTTGAAAACATTCCCTCTGAGAACTGGAAGAGGACAAAGATGCCCACTCTTACCACTCCTCTTCAACACAGTACTGGAAGACCTAGCCAGGGCAATCAGACAAGAGAATGAAATAAAGGGCATCCAAATCAGTAAACAGGAAGTCAAACTGTCCCTGTTTGCTGACGATATGATTGTTTACCTTGAAAACTATAAGGACTCCTCTAGAAAGTTCCTAGAACTGATAAAAGAATTCAACAAAGTTTCCAGATACAAGATTAATGTACATAAATCACTAGCTCTTCTATACATCAACAGTGACCAAGTAGAGAATCAAATCAAGAACTCATCCCCTTTTACAATAGCTGCCAAAAAAACTAAAATACTTTGGAATATACCTAACAAAGGAATTGAAAGACCTCTACAAGGAAAACTACAAAACGATGCTGAAAGAAATCATAGATGACACAAACAAATGGAACATGCTCATGGATGGGTAAAATCAATGTTGTGAAAATGACCATACTGCCAAATGCAATCTATAAATTCAATGCAATCTCCATCAGAACACCACCATCATTCTTCACAGGATTAGAAAAAAAATTATAAAATTTATATGGAACAAAAAAAAGAGCCTGCATAGCCAAAGCAAGACTAAGCAAAAAGAACAAATCTGGAGGCATCTCACTATCTGATTTCAAACTATACTGTAAGGCCATAGTCATCAAAATAGCATGGTACTGGTATAAAAACAGGCACATAGACCAATGGAATAGAATAGGGAACCCAGAAATAAACTCAAATACTTGCAGCCAACTGATCTTTGACAAAGCAAAGGAAAACATAAAGTGGGGAAAGGACACCCTTTTCAACAAATGGTGCTGGGATAATTGGCTAGCCACATGCAGGAGAATGAAACTGGATCCTCATCTCTCACCTTATACAAAGATCAACTGAAGATGGACTAAAGACTTAAACCTGAGACCTGAAACTATAAAAATTCTAGAAGACAACCTTGGAAAAACCTTTCTAGACATTGGCTTAGGCAAGGATTTCATGACCAAGAACCCAAAGGCAAATGCAATAAAAACAACAATAAATAGCTGGGACCTAATTAAACTAAAGAGTTTTTGCATGGCAAAAAGAACAGTCAGCAGGGTAAACAGACAACCCACAGAGTGGGAGAAAAATCTTCACAATCTATACATCTGACAAAGGACTAAAATCCAGAATCTATAGCAAACTCAAACAAATCAGTAACAAAAAACAAGCCCATCAAAAAGTGGGCTAAGGACATGAATAGACAGTTCTCAAGAGAAGATATGCAAATGGCCAACAAACATATGAAAAAATGCTCAACATCACTAATGATCAGGGAAATGCAAATCATAACCACAATGCAATACCACCTTACTCCTGCAAGAATGGCCATGATGATAATAATAATAATAATAATAATAATAATAATAATAAAAAGTAGATGTTGGTGTGAATGCAGTGAACAGGGAACACTTCTACACTGCTAGTGGGATTGTAAACTAGTCCAGCCACTATGGAAAACAGTTGTGGAGATTCTTTAAAGAACTAAAAGTAGAACTACCATTTGATCCAGCAATGCCACTACTGAGTATCTACCCAGAGGAAAAGAAGTCATTATTCAAAAAACATACTTGCACACACATGTTTATAGTAGCACAATTCACAATTGCAAAATCATGGAACCAACCCACATGCTCATCAATCAATGAGTGGATAAACTGTGGTATATATATATGATGGAATACTACACAGCCATAAAAAGGAATGAACTAACAGAATTTGCAGTGACCTGGATGAGATTGGAGACTATTATTCTAAGTGATATAACTCAGGAATGGAAAACCAAACACAGTATGTTCTCACTGATATGTGGGAGCTGAGCTATGAGGATACAAAGTCAGAAGAACGACACAGTGGACTTTGGGGACTTGAGGGAAAGAGTGGGAGGTGAGTGAAGGATAAAAGACAATATATATGGTGCAGTGTATACTGTTCAGGTGATGGGTGCACCAAAATCTCACAAATCACCTCTAAAGAACTTAGTCATGTAACTAAATACCACCTGTACCCCAATAACTTATGGAAAAATATAAAAAGAAAAAATTACCATCTCTTGCTCTATGTAGTTATTATTTAACAAAAGAATTGTTTCAAAAATGCAAATGTTATCAAATGTGAATACTTATAATTTCTTAAAAAGTGAAATGCATATTTTCTATCCTCACATCCACTGGGAGATTATATTTTGATTGAGGAAGATCTGGCAACCCTAGCTTAGGAGATATGAATGCAAGTTAGCATGGGCTAGGTTATGCTGCAGTAACAAACAACCCCAGCTCTCAGTGCCTTAACACGATAGGTTTATTTCTCACTCCTGCTGAGTGTCCATCATAGGTGAGCAGGGTCACTCCAAGAGCCAGGTGGTTGGAGCAGCTGCAATCTGGAGCGCATCTGACCACCTTAGCAGAGGGAAAAGAGTGAAGGTACTCATGCACTGGTGTTAAAGCTTCTTTCCAGAAGTGACACATACCACTTTTCTTTGGCCAAAGCAAGGTATATGGTTATACTTAATCTTAAGGTGGTGAGAAGTTTAATTCTGTCATATGCTCAGGGGAGAGAGAGAGAGAGAGAGACAGAGAGAGAGAGAGAGAGAGAGAAATATTTGGTAGATAGCACTAATTATTACTAAAGTAAGAAATAAACAATGGCCACTTCAGAAAGTGGCTTCATTACAGCAGGGGAGTGGCCACAGCTTTACAGGCAGCAAAGCCTACAATGTCTCTGAGATGGAGATTTGCAGTGACGGGAAGTGGTACAGAAATCCCTTTTAACTTCCTTTCTCTGCTTCTGTTCCAGGGCTTCATCTGCAACAGATGCTCTGGCTGGTATAAATTCCTCCTGGAGAATGTTAGATTATTAATTTTCTGTTTCCAGTGTTAATGTAACTTTGGATCTTTTGGCTTTCATAGGTATTTGATTTATTGGTTGGGACCGTTAGATCTAATCACTAGCTAGTTTTCAACCTAACTTGGAAATTCTGCTACTTCTTTTTTTTAAGTGGACATTATGCCAAACTAAAAATATTTTAAAGCGTGTAAAAAAAGCAAACCAACAAAATCTACCACCTAGTGGCTAATTTTCAAGCTGGTACCACAAATGAAGCTTTTTACTTATTTTTTTAATCCCTAACTATCGTTTATGGATAGAGACAGTGCATCAAAACTGCTGGAAATGGAAACTAAACACAAGTCAATCTGCTTTTTCAATTACTTGGAATCTCTGCTTTAAAAGCATTTTGTTTTGTTTTTTGTCTCTAACCTTCTAAATGGTTCTGGAGGGAGCACAGCCATGATGGACATAATAGGTGCACCCAAGATCACCACAGAGGGAAGGGAACTCAGGTGGGGTTTCCGCCTAGATGAGGGGATGGAAAGTTGCTGAGGTTACCGTAATCATTTTTGACGGTGGGAGCCAATGCCAGTCCATGGAAAGAGGCTGTGACAACTGAAATGCCTATATTTTTTGTATTTCTGTGCCTACTTGTCATTTACTGTGTTTTTTTTTTTTTTAAAAAACCTGATTGATTTCTAGAAAGTTCTGATTGATTTCTAGAAAGTTCCACGGGTATTTATGTGCAAATTTCCTTTCCTTTTCCTCCTTTTTTTTTTTTTTTTTTCTTGAGGCAGAGTCTCTGTTACCCAGGCTGGAATGCAGTGGCTGATCTCACTGCAACTTCCGTCTCCCAGATTTAAGTGATTCTCGTGCCTCAGCCTCATGAGTAGCTGGTATTACAGGCACACACCGCCACACCAGCTAATTTTTTGTATTTTTGGTAGAGAACAGGGTTTCACCATGTTGACCCGGCTCACCTTGAACTACTTCTTGATGATGGAATTGACAATTGAGGCTCAAACACAAAATTGTGTCAGCACCAGGCCAGTCAGAACCCACCTGAGAAAAGCCAAGATTCTAACATCGGGAAATCAGGAGTAAACCACACGATGAGCTGCAGGGGCGGGGACAGAAATTTTTGATGGTTGTGCCTGGCACATAACAGACACTCAAAAAATATCTTCGGAATAGACAAGCATCAACGTGCAAGGTGGGAGTGAAGTTGGAATGGAAGAGCAAGGAGATCTAGGAAAAGAATTGCGGGGTGAAGAAGGACTCCAGAGTGTTTCCTGTCAGTACAGAGTATTGAAGAGAAAAGAAGTCCAGAGAGGAGGTGTCTGCAGCTAGCCTGTGTGTCTTGGACTCAAAGAGTGTCCGGTGGGCTTCAAAGGCCAGCGGCAAGGCAGATAAAACAGATTTTTAAAAATTGAAATGAAAAGAAACAGATTTTATTTTGAGAATTTGTACACTGGGAGTAGGCAGCACTGATGTGAAGTGAAAAAGGATTTTTTTTTTTTTAATGTCATGCCTTCATTTGTACACCACCTACAGCTTCAAAATCCTTTCACATGTATCCATCTAATCCTTAAGGTGGGCATGAGCCTCTTTTGGCGGTCGGCAAGGATGGGAAAGATTACATGATTTCAGGTCTCACAGAGAAAGTGATGGAGCTGTAGCTTGAATTCTAAGCTTTTACTTCAAATCCACAATGCCATGCCTCACTCCAGTGAAGGACGGACTCCTGTTCTGTCTCCTAAAACCCACACAGCTCGCCTGGGTAAGTCTCTAGTGAAGTGTGCCGAAGTGAGTTCCTCGTTAGCGAGCTCTGTTTTTCTCCTGGGGCTCCGTCGATAAAGGAGCAGTTCGGGGACTGCTGTTCTGTGATCTGAGGAATAACAGCAAGGATGTTCTGGTTTCTCTAAAGGGAGCCACTTACGGGAAAGCAGAGATGGTTTAGCAACAGCTGTGAAATATGGTTTCATAATGAATACTTCAGGATGGAATGAATATGTTTAGTATTTTTGTTTTTCTCACTCTTGAGAAGAGGTGAAGAAAGACGGTGGGAGGTGAGGTCCTAGGTGTACAGGGGATGTTGAGAACTGATCTAAAATCCATCCTGGCCGATATGACCTTGATGGCAATTTGAGTGCAGTATAATCGAGACAGTAGCTACAGGGCTGGTGTTTCCTGGCAGGGGATGCATTTTTAAATTATCTTGGGTGACTGATTTGACCTGCCTTTGCTGGTCCTTAGTAGTTGAACAGTGAGAGTGGAGATGAGGATTTTCATCAAACCTTCAGGGACTTACCCGTTCTGAAATGTGTGAGCACTCAGGTACTGTCTCCTCCTGGATAGATGTGACTGAATTTGGGCTCAATTATTAAGAGGCCTCTTTCTTGTGTCTGTTTTAAAATTTATGGAGGGAGATAAAACAGGGAAAAACACCCCATTTTTGCTATAAAGGCTTTTCTTTATATCCCTCTTTCAATTTCCCTGCCCTCTGAATCATCTAGAAGACAAGACTTTCGAGCCTCATGAAGCCAGCTTTGTCTGAGAGCACAGACAGGGAAAGGCCCTGGGAATGTTTGTGGGGATAAGGACACAAGAGGATGGCAGCTGGTGCTTTTTTCACAATTTTGCTTGTATCCTTTGGTCATTTTTATTCACTTTTGTCATTTTGTCATTTTTGCACAGTGATGAGTGTAGGACCAGCAAGGAGGTGTTCCAGCCGTGTGGGCTCTGGCTGGAGCTCCCCCCCAGGAGTGGAGTGTCCTACTTGAAGATTAGGGAGAGGCAGGCGTCTTCTCAAGTGAGAGTCCCTTGGTCAACAGGTCCTAGAAAATAAAGACCAATTAGGTAAGCCTGCAGGCGTGGTTCTGCGACATTGATACACTATCCGTAAAACACTGACAATTACACAGGGCAAGATAAACTTTTAAAAATACAAACTGAGGTCAGGTGCAGTGGTTCACGCCTGTAATTCCAGTACTTTGGGAGGCTGAGGCAGGCAGATCACTTGAGGTCGAAAGTTCGAGACCAGCCTGGCCGACATGGTGAAACCCCATCTCTACTAAAAATACAAAAATTAGCCAGGCATAGTGGTGTGTGCCTGTAGTCCCAACTACTTGGAGTGCTGAGGCACACAAATCACTTCAACCCGGGAGGCAGAGGTTGCAAGTGAGCTGAGATCATGCCACTGCATGCCAGCATGGGTGGCAGAGGAGACTCTATCTCAAAAAAAAAAAAAAAAAAAGTGTAAGTTCTTCCATATTTTATGGGCCTACAGAGTGCATACCATGAAACTCACTCAGGTGGAGTGGATTCTGCTCAGGAAAACAGAGTTTTTATTTCAATTAGGATATGATGTAAAAATCGCACAGATAGTAGAAAATGCAATTACACACATATATGCTTCCATTGAAGACTTTCTTTCCCAAATGTAAAGGTAATAACTAACTCACTTTATGTGTTATTTTCCTATGTTCCCTTCCCCATCCACACTTATATGTGGGTGACCTGAATTTTGTCTGGATATTTCTGATGACAACGTCGTCTCTTCCTGATCAACCCATATTATTGCTTCCGGTATCCACTACGCTTTGCATGTGCCCTAAGACATAGGAATTTTCTTTGTAATGAATGATTAACTTTTGCTCATTGTTTTCTGTTCATTGGAATTACATGTGGAGTATTCATAAATGAAGATCACTTCTGTTTCTCTAGGATAACGTGTGGGTCGGAGATCTTAGCTGAAAGCCCTGGAAGCCGTCTCTGGCTGATGTAAGCAGAGGGATACTGGGCAGATCACAGAATGGTCTTAACTAGAGTGGGTTCATGAGCCTGATCTGAAAAAATTTAGACAGCAAGTCAAAGGGAAAGCAAAAGCTTCAAAGAGGTACAACCTGTTTTGTTTTGTTTCGTTTTATTTTATTTTATTTTGTCTCGTCTCGTCTCGTCTCGTCTCATCTTATTCTTTTTGGGACGGGGCCTCACTCAGTCGCCTAGGCTGGAGTGCAGTAGAGTGATCATGGCTCACTGTAGCCTTGACCTCCCAGGCTCAAGTGATCTTCCCTGCTCACCCTCCTGAGTAGCTGGGACTACAGGTACACACCACCACGCCTGGCTAATTTTTGCATTTTTGTATTTTTTGTAGAGATGAGGTTTAGCCACGTTGGCCAGGCTGGTCAGGAACTCTTAAGTTCAAGTGATCCACCCACCTCAGCCTCCCAAAGTGCTGGGATTACAGGCATAAGCACCACGCCTGGCCCTGTGTTGTTTTTTTTTGCAGGAGTTTTCCTTCTCTCATTGGTTTAGTGAGTGATTAATTTTTTAGGCATGATTTTGTACATGCTGGGAATCCACGTTCTCCAGAAAATGTGGGATAAATTCATTTCTGCTTGACACCTTTGGCTTCTCTCAGTCTAATAAGGAAGGGGTGAAGCTAGCTAGGGTTCCCATAATTGGTGCTCTGTGAATGTTAAACTCTTCCTGATGATGTTTACCTTTTTGTTCTTGTCCTCGAGTGTGTATAGGAAAGGTGAAGACTCTGCATTCATTTCTCATTGCAGCTGTAACAAATCACCAATAATTTAGCAGCTTAAACACAAATTATCTTACAATTCTGTAGGCCAAAAGTCTGACACAGATCTCAGCAGGCTACAATCAGGTGTCACAGGGCTGCGCTCCTTTCTGTTGGCTCCAGGAGAGCCTGGATCTCTGTTCCTCTGCTGGCTATCAGTTGAAGGCTATTCCCAGCTTCTAGAAGCTACTTGAATTCCATGGCTTGTAGCCTTTTCCTCTGTTTTCAAAGCATTGATGGACTGACTCCCTCTCATGCTTTGAATCTGTCTTGATTATTTACTCTTGTCTCTGACCAAAGCCAGGAAAGATTCTCCAATTTTAAGGACTCCTGTGATTAGATTGGGCCCACCTGGATCATCTAGGATGATCTCCCACCCCAAGATTTATGCCTTCAATTATATCTGCAAAGTCCCTCTTGCCCTAGGTTCCAGAGATCAGGGTGTGACATCCTTGGGAGGGGGAAGAATATTCTGCTGGCCAAAGACTCTACTGGGGTTAATTCTGAAAATCACTGGTACGTGTATCTATACATTTTCTTCACCCTCGAGCAGGCAGATGTGCTGCCTTCAAAAGTGCTTAGGTGTTACAGTCACGTGTCCCAAGCCCCGAGCTCTCGGGAGCTGGCCTGTGCACAGCACAATGTGGAGCCAGCCTGTTCTTAACGTCAGCTCTTGTTATCTATTAAGCAAAGGAGCCAATAACCAGGACAGTTAGGGTGGAATCTCACTCTGGTCCATGGAGTCCTCTTTACTTTCTACATAAAATCCCATGAAATACTTTCTTGAGTGTTTGATGCTTTGCTGATTTGAAGATGCAACCTTCTCAGGGCAAGGCCAGCATTTCTTGGACGGGGCTCACATGTCTGTTCTTTGGAGCTATGGGCAAAGAGCCTATCTCTTCAGGGAATGTAAGCAGGTAGAGATGTTTGCTGGGGCTCTGAAAATTGAATGAGCAGAGCCACATGAGTGAGTGCTCAGTGACAGCTGATCTTTGGCTGTTTCCCAGAATATTTCTACCTGTTGTGAAAACCAGTCATTGGTGCTTGGAGAATGACTGTTGCCATGGATACCTGGTTGTTCTAATCGGTCCCACAAGCTACCTGTTTGTAGGAACAGGTCTTCTCCTGCCCCAGCCATATGGCTCTGCTGCCCTACCCACGTGGGCACACCTGATTATCAGAGCATAAGCAGCTGATGAAGCTGGACCAATGCATCTGTTCCTGGGTGTCTCCTGACTTTGCACCAGTGACACCATTTGGCCAGTGTCTCTCTTCAGTGCTGAAGCGGTCAGATAGAAAGCCCAGAAGCTGATGGCAGTCACCTTCTGTGGAAAAAGCCTACCACAGCAAGAAGGATGCACACAGAGAGAGAGAGCTTACCTGGCTTCGTGGGGTCAGATCCTAGTCCTCCTGGGACCCAGACATATTTTCTTGTCTTACTTTTTCTTTCTTTTGTTTTATTACACTTTAAGTTCTGGGATACATGTGCAGAACGTACAGGTTTGTTACATAGGTATACACGTGTCATGGTGGTTTGCTGCACCCATCAACCCATTGTCTACATTAGGTATTTCTCCTAATGCTATCCCTCAATTAGCCCCCCACCCCCTGACAGGCCCCAGTGTGTGATGTTCCCCTCCCTGTGTCCATGTGTTCTCACTGTTCAATTCCCACTTATGAGTGAGAATATGTGGTGTTTGATTTTCTGTTCTTGTGTTAGTTTGCTGAGAATGATGGTTTCCAGCTTCATCTATGTCCCTGCAAAGGACATGAACTCATACTTTTTTATGGCTGCATTGTATTCCATGGTGTATATGTGCCACATTTTCTTTATCCAGTCTATCATTGATGGGCATTTGGGTTGGTTCCAAGTCATTGCTATTGTGAATAGTGCTGCAGTAAACATATGTGTGCATGTGTCTTTATAGTAGAATGATTTATAATCCTTTGGGTATATACCCAGTAATGGGATTGCTGGGTCACATGGTATTTTTGGCTCTAGATCCTTGAGGAATCACCACACTGTCTTCCACAATGGTTGAACTAATTTACACTCCCACCAACAGTGTAAAAGTGTTCCTATTTCTCCACATCCTGTCCAGCATCTGTTGTTTCCTGACTTTTTAATGATTGCCATTCTACCTAGAGTGAGATGGCATCTCACTGTGGTTTTGATTTGCATTTCTCTAATGACCAGT